GGCTCAAGCTAGGCCAGTTTTGTTGGAAAGGGTTTTGTCTGGGCATAGACCCCTCCTCTCCATTTTTAGCTTTCTGTCCCGTCAAGATCGCCAGGCTTTTCAGGCAGCAGATTTTTGCCTTCACGCTGATCTCAGGTGGTTTCTCTTAAGAGCACCACCTTTGGCAGATGCAAGAGGCACCGGCGCAGCCTCCGACTCCAGCTCCCTGATGCACTTAACAGTCAAGCGATATCGCAAAACACCTTCCCTTGCTCAGTACCGCCGCCAGAGGCTCAGACCCCAGTGACATCCGCCGCAAAATCTCAGTGCCCGAAACCATGCCCTTCAGCCTCGAACCACGCCGGAGCACCCCTGCAGTGTGTGTGGCAGATTTGTCACTAGGGGAAGGCGAAGCACGCTCTCAGCCCAGTTTTGTGGTCAAGTACCCTGCGCACCAGCCTGGCACTCCTAAGCCAGCGCCAATTTTCACCCGCAAAGTCGCACTTGAAAGCCCGCATCAGGTTTGGGGGGAAAGGAGGCCCCTTCAAATTGGCCCAGGCCAGCCACCATCGCACATTTCTCTCCGCCTCCCAAGTCGGCCACAACATACACCACAGCCAACACTGCATTCTTGCGTGTGTCACCGCCAGGTTAGAGTGCAGGTTACAGCAAAAGTCTCTGCCTGCCACAGGCTAGGGCCGCCAGGCTTGTGTCAGCACGCTCCCTCACAGAGTCCAGACGACAGAGGCTGACAGATCAGTTCAGGAACATCATGCTCAGGGTTGGCTCCCACTGCCTTTTGCACGGCATTCTCGCAGAGTCAGAGCACCCAGAGCAACACCTCGAGCAATTGCTGGCAGCCTTTGCAGTCAACACCTTGTTCCGCTATTTGGCGTGCTGCCTTACTTTTCTTGAAGGAAACACTGTAGGCATCGGAGGGTGGATCAGCGCCGCGTCGGAATTCTTCTGGTTTTCTGAGTCATGGTCCATGACAGAAGTGCGCCGGTTCTGGCCTGAACTGACCAAAACCGCACAAGCATACATTTCCTGTTTCGAGACACTCCCGCAGCTAGCACTGGCAATGCTGGCGCACCGCAGACTGCACTCAAGGCATTTCAAGTTTGTGCTGCCCGCAGCCTCTGACAACACCTCCGCAGAGGCAGGCATAAATAAACTCTTCACAACCACAGAGCCTTTGAGCCGATTCTTGAAGCTAGTGGCGTCTTGGTCAGCACAGCATAATGTGCACCTTGCGGTCTCGCACCTTGCAGGCGAGAAAATCGTCTGGGCTGACGAGCTCAGTAGATCCAAGCTGCAGCGCTTCGCGAGACGCACAGCAGACAGAGAGCGCTTTTCTCTGGACATGCTCGCATGCCCGCAAGGCATAGTTACTTTGCACCCTCCGCACGCTGCCTGGGCGCAGCCTCTTTTGGATGCTCAACATGTTGACTGAGCAGCTCCATGCATCCAGCACGCGAAATGTGTCCGCAGGCATCGCACCGCATGAAGCTGACCCTTGACCTGACTTTTGCACGCATCTTTCTCAGAAAAAAACCGCTCGGCCGCACAGCAAGTCTCAGCAGTGGGGACCTGATGCTTTTGGCTGCTAGGTACTCGCCACTCTGACGCGGAAGGGGTGAAAGACTCCGTCACAGAGTTGCTCGAACCTAAAGTGGGGGTTCTAAACCTTACGCCCTGCACTGCGTCGCATTTCGAGCAACTCGTGACAAAAGGAGACAGACTGCTGCTTTCGCTTTTGTGTGAGCCAAGCGTAGGAAGTGTCATGCTTGAACGCCCCATCGTGCGTCGTGGTTGCCTGGCGCATACAACCCACAGCTTGTGAGACGATGATACGCTGAGGTTTTTGATGATGTTTCTATAGCCTTCGATTACCCTGCGCCACTCGGGGTTTCACTTCTTGCTGATGGTCAGTGAGCTGCGGCTCCCGTCAGCAGAGCACGCTGTGCGCTTGAGCCGCAGGTAGGCGGTCAGTTGAGCCTCGGCTCCCGCCTGCTGGCGTTGTACTTGGTTTGGGATTGCGGTGACCGCTTCCCTAGGGGTTGCCACCACAGAGTGGCCGCTACCAGTAGCGTTACAACTGCTCACGAGCAGGTTTACAAGGCTGCTGTGGTCCAAAGCTGCAAAAAAGGACTTGCCATCAAGAGGGTTAACTGCTAAATGCATTACCCTAATCCGAGGGGTCTACCGTGGGGCCATGACCGTCGACCAGTGCCTGCGCCAAGCAATCACGCAATCGCTGGCGCAGACCGCGCCTGCGTTCCTGAAGGCCAACCTAGACCCTGCCGTCGCCCGTGTCCTTGTTCCAGCCTGAGGAATGGGCGGCGGCGGGCCTGGCCCAAGGCAAAACACGCACACATCAAACCGACGAGTCCGTGCCCTGACCGACGAAAAGAGCGTGATGCAAGAGTGACAACAAATTTGCTACTCGAACTTTGTCATTTGATTGAAAGTGACAATATACAAATTCTATATGGAAATTATGAGTGCAATTGTTATAACTATGAGCAAAATATTGTGGTGACAAAACATGCTTGCCTGTTAACGTGAAATCATAACTTCTGCCCCTCCACATCAAGGGAAACTTTCAGCTAAGAAGGGAAGCGTCAACGAGTTGATATACCCTTCTTATCTTAAGAGCAGCGAACGTAGTGAGCGTTTCCTTTGTGGACATCCGGGCATTCGAAGTTGGGGGAAAACACATGATTGATTTTTATTCTTTATGTTACCACGATTTCCTTCATGCTGGCAAACAGGAAAAAATTGTCACATGGTCAAACAATTTTCCAAACCCCTAATTGGAAATTGACCAAGTTTGAAGCTTTTCTCGCCAGCAAGGAGAGAAGAACGTTTCTGTTTCCCACCGGGCCTGGCCAAAAGAAAAACACGCGCACACCAAACCGACGAGTCCGTGCCCTGACCGACAAAAAGAGCGTGATGCAAGAATGACAATAAAATTTTGCCACTCGAACTTTGTCATTTGATTGAAATATTCATGAAGCATATTTCGCCGAGTGACAATATACAAATTCTATATGGAAATAATGAGTGCAAATATTTTAACTATGAGCAAAATATTGTGGTGACAAAACATGCTTGCCTGTTAACGTGAAATCATCATCAAGGGAAATTCGTAGCTAAGACAATCTATATACATCTAATTAGAAGCCATCGGAATTTGATTAAAATGGCTAGGAAATTTTCTATTATTTTAGGGATGTTTTCTATTAATCCATGCAGCAGCACCCGTAAAGGTCCTGTTTGCGGACCTTCTCTGCTATTCAAATTTTTGGGTGCCATAAGTATTGCAGCCTTTTCAAGCAGGCTTGGCTGTTGCTGTCAGGAAATTTTGTATTTTTCTGTGGTGTTTTTCTATCAATCCATGCAGCAGCACCCGTAAGGGGTAGCTCCGGAAGCAATGTTAGGCCCTTAAATTCTCAATAAAGTTTAGTAAGCAAATCCTGTTTGCGGGGCCCTCTCTCTAGTGTAAAATTACTAGTAGTAGGGTCCCTATTATTTGCTACTTTGCTAAAATTACAGAACAGGTTTGAGGTGAAAGTTTAAGTTCTAGAACATAGAATGTAGTTGGTCCCATATTTTTTTATGCACACGCTGCAACCACTGCAAACGAACTGCAATGCACACCATTCAGTTCAGTTTCACATCCCACGCATTCCTGAGCAGCTTGTGCCAAAAAGAAGTACGTAGCTTCTGCTGTCTGCTGGTTGTGCAAGCGAAGAAAAGTTGGTGAACGTGATCAGCCAAGATCTCGCAGGAATTAGGAGAAAAATGAAGTTGTCCTAACCAAGCAAATTCAACAGTGAATTTTCAATCAATAAAGCTGGCACAGAGCAGTTGGTTTTGCTGAGTCTTTTCACGGCGGACGTGCCAAAATCAAGCAGCAACAAGTCTCGGAGCACGATCCTTGAGACATCTTGAGACCACAAGTCCTTCAAGAAGATGGGGGCAAAGGCCGGGATTTTATTGTCCCGCTACCAATGCAGCGCAAACTGCGGCGGCAGGATTGGGCTCAAAAAAACTGCCGTGGTTTGCACTCCCGATGAAGTGCGCTCACGCAAGTGCAAGTCCGAATGGCTTAAGTTCCGGTGGTCGAGAAAACCACTACCAGGGGCCCCTTCTGCCGAATGTTTCAGCATGGCAATATGATCAGTTGATTGAATCCCTCACAACACACAGTTACTGAACAATCAGGTCCATGTGAGAGAAGAATTTCTCGCATGAAGCAAGCGTCTTTGATTATGGGATAGAAACATTTTGAAGGTTTGAAAGAATCCCATCAGGCCTAGCAGATAATTTTGAAAAAACAAATAACAAACGAAGGCCTCAGGAGATCATGTTTTTTGATAGAACAAATCTCCTGACCACCGCAATTTTGCCTGGTTTGGATAGGATGGTGTCTTCTGAAAATGCAGCATGGAGCCGACATGTTTTCTGGTAGCGTTCTTGTGTACTGTTGCACGGGATGATAGTGGCCTTGTTTGCTTTCGCTGCATCACATGGAGTGCGTTATTGGAGCACAAGGTTTTGGTGTGTTTTGCTGATGTTTGTTGTCGCTCAATGAACAGGGGTATTGATCCGTTGAGCTACGAACATTTTTTGTGAGCTTGTTATGCATCAGCCTTGGCCATTAATGATTCATGTTTGCTGTTTTCGTCTGTCATTTCCAACATTCGTAAGTCTGTTGCAAAGAAGTTGAGAAGCTTTCTCATTCAAATGCAATATGTCAAGGATAGCCTGAATTGCAACACACTTTTAGAAACAGTCCTTTTATTGCATCTCTTCATGGTTGTGCCTGCCCGCGGCCTTCCGGCGCAGCTTGCTTCCAATGGTGCTTACCATGCAGCATCTTGGTGGACTTGTGGAAGGGCTTGCTCACGTGTCTCCTGCATCTCTTTGAGGTTGAGGTGATTCTTTCCCATATTTGGCAGCAGATTTTGACAGAATCTGAGAGTTTTTAGTTGCGTGGTAGATGATCAACCAAGGTACAGACGCCCTCCATGCATGTCGCACTGAACGGGATGACATTGCCCGTTCCTGTCGGAACACAGGCTTCGGGGATTTTCGGCATTTTCAGAATTGCAGGGTTTTTGCTGGCTTGCAAGAAGTTAGAGTCTGGTTTAGTGCAGCCGATGCTACCAGGCGTTGGTTGGTGGTGAGCGAATCGCGATGCCGCCGCAACCAGTTTGGAAACCCAACGTGCTTTATCCCATTTTATTGTTCACGCCGGGGCTCGCCATGCTCACGCAGCAAGTGCATAGGAATTCTAGCCTGCATTTGCCATACAGTTCGTGTAACTGTCCGCTGCCACAGCTGCTTTGGCTTTGTCACTGTGGAGGCGCCTGTCAATTTGGATCGCAGCAGTAGTAGGTTCAAGACCTGTAGTTTCTTCCCGAAAATCGGGGACAAGGACGGAGTGATGTTATTGGTTTCGGATATGACACGCAAATCTGCATGCTTGCATGCAGCCCTGTGCAGGAGTGCGGCAGGGTTTGGAACTCAAAGTCGGGAATTGGCTCAAGCTGCGTGGGTTGGAATTTGCTGAGGCAGTTTGGTTCAAGAAATGACTCTGCAGAGGCGGTGAGTTTTGTGGAGATTGGGCCAATTGCATTTGCGCTTCTTGCAAGGTGAATCGGCTGGCCTTGTTACTTTACGAGGTCACATAAGATGCTGGATGGGAGCAATTGTGGAACTCCTCATTGGTGCATTCTTTGTAGATTAGATTGGGCATGAATGGGTGTGGCCTGCAATTTGCTCAGTGTCATTGCATATGACGTTTCATCAGACATCGCGAGCCTGTTGGCACAGGCTTGATGCCAGCCAATGTCTGGCACCAAGAAATTGTTGATTGAGAGTTTTTTTACTGAGATATTTGTTCAGCAAGTGCGACAGGGCATGTGCAATGTAGAGCTATGGCAGTGTTGTGTCTGAACAGGAGGTCTCCAAAACCCAGTCACAGCCAGAGTACAGGACTGAACAAGACTCTTCAGCTTTTGTTTTTGATCAAAGCTGAATATACGCTCATACTGCAACATGCAGATCTCAGTGTTGAGTGCTGTTCTACAGGAGGGGCCGGAGTACATCATCCAATGTTCGTTCCCGCCACAGTGACGTGTTACTTTGTTGTTGCTGCTCCTGCATTTGCTGTCGTGGCTGCATTGTGGTCCTCCTTGTTGCTGTTGCGGTGCTCGTGTCTGCTGCTGCTGCTGCTGCTGCTGCTGCTGCTGCTGCTGTTGCTAGTTTGACATGTTGGCCTCATTAGCAAACAACTGCCTTCCAGCTTGCTGTTGTCTGATGAACCTCTTGCACCTTGAGTTTCGCCGGTTACATGCCCGGTGATGTTCGCAAGGACAGCTTCTTGTCCGAAGTCATGTCCAGTTCCGATACGTTTGAGCTCATGCATGCGAGGATATTCTCATCGTGGAAGCATAGCTTCCAGGAAGCCGCTGTCCAGATGTTGGATTGTTTTTGGCAACAATCTGTTGAACGGTGCGTCAGGAGGGTCCAGATGGCAAAGGACAGCAGGGCATTTTTGAGGCACGCGTCTGGTTGGGGTTTGTCAGCATAGGCGGTGCTGGTTCCAGACAGTTAAAGGAGTGGATCGCACTGCAGCTTTCTGCGATGATGATCCACTGGTTCAGGGATCTTTTCTTTGCTGCGCATCAGGCCGTCAATGACTTGAAGCGAAGCAGGTCCAGACAATCCATTAAGGCCCGGCCTTATGGCAGCTCGTTGAAGCAAGAGAGCCCTTATGAACAGATGCTTGAGGGACCCGACTCTGAAGGAGCACAAGTACGCAGACAATGTGTGTGGTCGTGCCGCACGTCATCGGTACTTTGAAGGGCGTTCTCCCAAGCTGTTTGCTTCCGTATCCTTCAGGCTCATGAATGAGCGATACTGATGATACTGAGCCTATTTCAACGCTTGTTCCAGGTTTGAGGGTTTGTCAGGGTCTGGTTCAAGCCAGTGTGACCTTGCTTTTGCCCTGGACTCCCTTGGACCCCTCTGTAGATCATGTTCAGCTGTGCTCGTGGAAATTGCCTGGCCCGACCGTTCAAGGACAACAATGGCCGTGATCTTGCTGAATGCGCTATGGATCGGAATTGTGAGGGGCTTATGGTTCCACACTCCCAGCCAATGTGCCATTTTGTGTTGCTCGCTAGGACACGGACTACTCTGCAAGGAATTTCAGACCGGCAAAGCTCTATGAAGGCATGGGACTCAGTTAGAGGTCGTGCATATTTTTTTCCACCGAGCAGATCCGCATGGCTCAAGCAGCAGCAAGCAACTCTTTCCTGTCAAATGTGCCAGACGTGCGTCTAGAGGCTTTGGCATGACTACTCCCGGTGCAGTACCTGCAAATTTGCCAGCCTGCTTTGCAGGGTTGAGCCCAGAAGAGCTGCAGACTTCAGAGGTTCTATACTTGAAGGGTCGTGGCATTACTGACTCTGACTGTGCAGCATTGGCTGCCTTCCTTGGCCGAAACGCAAGCTTGCGACAGCTGTATATCGGCTACAATGATTTCGGAGACGAAGGTGCGAAGCATCTTTGCCAAGCTTTGTCCAACCTGCAGAGTGACTAGCCTGCAGGATTTAGCGTTCCAGGCACCTGGATGGAGCGTAGCATGGTAATCTCTATGATGGGCCTCTGTAACTTAGGTGGTTGTTTGGAATTGGTGGGATTTCGCCACTGCCGACTTGGTGACCGTGCAGCTGAAGCGGTTGCAGACCTGATCAGGAGCAGCCGAACAATAGTTGAATCTAAGCGATTAAAGCAGACTGGCTTGCTTTTTCATATTCACTCAATCTTTGCCATGCCTTTAAAACCTAGTTTTGTGCCATGTAGATGGAAAGGTGAACATGTTCAGGGATTTGCCTTACAACTTGGCTTAGTGTGTCAAGCCTGATTGTTGCATACTTGCTATAGCCTACGGAATGCAAGGGATGTGTCTGGAACATGCTGCTAAAATGGCCTTGCCATTTTGGGTCAAGATCTGGGACCGTGGGTCCATTGTGATTTGAAACGTTTTTGCTTTCTTCACCTCTTCTTTGTGAAGACATGGCTTCCTCCCCCTCCTCCATGCCTGCTGCCGGTGCGGTGCCCACTGACGTGGTGGTCTCTGTGGGCGCCGTTGGCCCTGATGCGGCCCGGCTTGATTCCCCTATAGCAACCATTGAATAATATGGGCCAAGTATTATCTGGGAGGGTACCTTTAATAGCCTCAAGGGTTCCCGTATAGCAACTATTGAATAGCATGGGCCAAAGTATTATCTGGGAGGGTTCCTTTAATAGCCTCAAGGGTTCTCCTATAACAACTATTGAATAGGATGGGCCAAGTATTATCTGAGAGGTCCCTTGGATAGCCTCGAAGGTTTTTTTTTCTCGGAGCTTGCTGTGGTAGCCTAAAATCCTGTAGGAGGGTCCCATGCCTCAAGTCCTTATGGGCGTAATTACTTAGTGTTTCATATGTGAATAGTACACGTTCCATTACATGTCAAGGACTATGACTACAGTTTGTGAAGGTGCTAGAGGTTTTCTTTCGGAGCTTGCTGTGCCTAAAATCCTTTAACTTCCCATGCCTCAAGTCTTTATGGGCGTACTTACTGAGTCTTTCAAATGTAAATTATGCACGTTCCAGTACATGCCAAGGACTAGAGTTGGTGAAGGTGCAAGAGGTTTTCTTTTCCTCCTTGAGGAGCAGACACCTCCGTCGTACCTTCTCCTCTCCGAGGCCCTCATCCGCATCCTGTCGGAGGGCTTGAAGGCACAGGACCGCGAGGGGGACCTACAACATCTTTGGCACGTGGCCGTTGCGGTCACAGCATCGAGGCTGTCACACGAATTCTCGGACCGTGACAGACTATTTGAACAAACCGAGATTGACAAGTGGAACTCTGTACCAGGAGTGGACCTCCACCTGGAAGTGGCGATCCGGAAGTGGCGGCACTGGCGTCCTGGCCATGTCTCGGGCGCAGCTCCCCGCAAGCAGAGGGAGCTTGAGCGAGCTTTGAGGCAAAAACGGGGAGAAAGGCTGTTTTCGCATCTCCTGCCGGTTGCGGCCCGCGTCCCTTACATTGCTGCCGTTATCAGCACCTCGTCAACTGTGGAGACAGTGGCCCTGTTGGGCGAGTTCTTGGACCTCTTTGGTGATGCCAGGTTCCGCACCATTCGCGTGCGTTGCCGCAGCCTTGAAGAGGTTCAGAGGATGGGGATGAAGACAACCCCATGGCGGGAAGCTGACGTCCGGGACCTGCTCAACACCATGCGGTACAAGGAGCTCACGCCCAGCAAAGTCCAGCAAGTGTGTGGCACTCTCAAGTGGTGTTCCCAGAAGTTCGGAACAAGATTTCCCGCCGCACCTCTAAGAAGGCCTCTGTCATGGAGGAACTGGTGTCCATTGTGCACACCCCGCAGTGTAAGGCGCTGCTGCCGATCATTTTGGGCCTTGCAGAGCCTCCCTCCACCTTCAGGATTTGTCCCCTCCTCGGAGGCCCAGCAGTTGTTGGCCAGCTTCATCTTGCGGATCACCTCAGCAACCTCCAGCACACCTCGCCGCGCATGTTGCGAGTGTCTTCGAATACTGGAGATGAAGCCTGGCAGACCAAGACCAGTTCGGCGGTGAAGATGAAGAAGCCGGTGGCCTGGACTGGTGGTCTCCCCTTGTGGCATTGTGGAGGCTTTCAGGGCGGGTGCCTGAAAAAAAAAATGACTTCCCCATTCCAACAGTCAGCGAGGACTAGCTGGGGCTCATTGCCGTTTCCTCCGGGGACCGTGCCCTGAAGTGGCTCAAGGCAGCCCTAGTGCGACGCGGTGTGTTTCAAGGACCCCCAGAACCTTTTCCTCAGGTTGACATGGCACCTCTTTCGGGTCTTCGTTCCAGACGTCGCTTTCCAGCTCCATATACCTCGTAATCAACGCCGGTATCTGGACAACTGGCTTACAGAGAGCACCTCGTGTCGTGATTGGTGGGAGGAGGAGGAGGAGTCCGTATCGCTAGTCTGCTCATTCTGGGAACCTAATGCTCCAGGCCTATACTTCGGGGCCACGCTAGTGGTGCTCACTTTGTCCGAGGCTACGCTGGGACCTTCAGCTGGAGGTGGATTGAGGTGCTTGCCATAGCCGATCCAAGTGGGGAAAAACGTAAGGTGGTCTGCTCCATCTGGGACAACGTTGCCAGGGGCCTT